CTGCAACGAAGTCGATGACCAATAAGCCCGATCTTGGAGGTTAGTCCGATGAGTGTCCATTAACTGAGTCAAAACCGGCTGCAGATCTGAAAGGAGACTGGAACCATGGACATGCCAACGGCGAGCAAGTTTGCGAAGTTGCGAGGTGAAACGTTGATGCAATAAGTCGACATCACCGAAATACTGATCCTTCATTGAGGCGGCCATGATTTCAATGTCAATGTCCGCATTGATGCGAGAAAACTCATCCACCATTACAGCGTGACCATGTGCACGGTGTATATGGTGATCATCGATGTCCAAACAGCGACACGGAAAGGATGTTTCAGGAGTCCATCTGCGCTGCCATGTGCGGTAGTTGTATATCTTGTCGCCCAATGTGGCACTGCGAGTTTCCACCACCCGGATCTTTGGAATGAAAAGAGAAGGGAACAGATCCCGATGAGAAGCAATCCAGCTTTGTAGCCATGTGCCAAGTAGAGCTTTCCAATTCCGGACATGCAGCGGCGGTAAGAGTAGCTGTGTCAAAGTGGTGGGTGTTTGTAGCCGTCGTTTGCGCAGCACCTGGGCGAGGAGTTTCTGCGCCTTGGAGCGGAAGGGCTCGTTGACAAAGACTGCGAGCCGCAATAAGTAGTACAGCTGAGTGGGAGGGAAAGCCGCCGACAGCAGGTCACGCATGACTTGGAACGATGCTCCTGTATTCGATCCCAGCTGATAGAGAATAGAGTAATGGGCTTGAATGTCATCCAGGATGTCAGGTCGTAGTTGCCGTTGGAGATCCGGATGTAGTCGTCGTCGAAAGCGCTTGTGCAAGCCGAGGGAAGTGGGAGAAGACAACGAGTGACGTCGAAAATCCACGAGATGTTCCCGGAAGCCCACCTTGCGCAAGATTCTGTGTACCCAGGGCGCATTCAAATGCGGGCGTAGCAGGTATTGCCACTTGCTTTCTTGAACCCACACCGAGGAAACAGGAAGTTTGATTTCCACCGGAACAGCGCAGAAGAGCCAGTAAGTATTAGATCTCTTCCAGTAGTGAAGCGCTGGTTCGAAGAAGGCATGCCGTCCACGAAGTAGTTGTAGAAATTTGCGACTGCGTGAGTGTTCACGACGTAGAACATCCTGATCAGTCGCCCCAACATAGTAGGGTGTGTGCCATGGGGAAAGTCGTATGTAGACGCACGGTTGTTGATGATGACCTGGATCGTGTATGAAGTCATAGAGGTCAGGAAATCGCGCCCGCAATGAGCGTAGATGTCGCGTGTCCGCAAAAGTAGAGTGCATGATTTCACACAAGAGAGAAGTCTTGTAGAAGTGAAGGACTTCAAAGAACGGCGGGAAGTAGCCGTGATCTTGTGAAATGAGACGTTGTAAGAAACTAATCAATAAATAGGCAGTGCACCGACATCTGTGAAGCTCATACCTGTTGGCCACGGTGTGCTGAGAGTGTGACATAGCGTGATTCGGAATCTGAAGGGCTATCCGGACCACAACTAAGACTTCGAGGATGAGACCCAGCCACGGCAATTGTGTGATTGATTCGTACTCCGCAGTTGGAATCGACGGTGGTGGTAGTCCAGGAAAACAGTACTGCCAGCACGTAGAGAACATGGTCAACGAGTGTAGAAGGTCGTCCAGCGACTGCCATTGTGCAACATCATCATAGATTCCGCAGCGGCGAAGTTCATCCAACATGGTGAGATACAACCAATGAAATCTACCACAAGGCGGCGACATGAATACAAGCATCACAGACAATCACACAAAAGGCAATGCAAGAACGAGCAAGTACAAGATCAAACTGGTGCAACGCAGAAAATTGACGGACAAGTTTTCACCTGGACTCATCCGTGACATTGGTGCCGCTCCGGGCTCATAAGAGAACGAAGGTCATCATGATGCCTTCTCATCCACAGAGTAGGCGAGCGGTCACGATGAGGTGACTCAATGCCTTCTCAGTGAGTTTGGTAAGATAGCCGGGCTCTAGTCCCCACGAAGCCGCCATCGCCCCGAGAGTGGGTGCGTCGCCTTTCGGCATGCGTTGTCGCGCCTGAAGGAGCTGCGTCGCCATAGAATCTACTGACTTGTTGCCGTTGAGCCGGGACGGGTGATTGGCCCACTTAACCAGCGATGCCAAAGTGGTGGTTGTGGGTGATTGCTTGAGATAAAGGCGAGGTTGGTCACTGGTCCATGTGTAGTACTTGACGACTTCATCCGGCGTGCTGTGCATAGTGAGCAATTGTGACGCCACCGGTTTGGACGGCGGTGACGACACTCCGTGAAGAGACTGAATGATCCGAGGTTGCACCACGCTATCAAACGACTTGCCATCCAGGGCGGCTGCGCTGGCTGTAGGAAGGGAGCTGGCAGGTGACGATGATGGTGTGTGGTTGACCGGTGGCGGTGTAACCAACTCTGCATCATCCTTCTGGTTTGTCATCGTGGGAGAGGTCGAAGCGCGAAGCGATGCGGAAAACTGAGCTTGGAGAAGTTCGTGCGCACGATTTAGATCATTGTACTTTTTGACCATGTCATCTGTCTGGGTGGCAGGTGCGAGAGAGGTGTGATGCTGCTGAAGAAATTGAAGTACCAAGCTGGCCAAATGGTCGTGGACCTTGATGCGCTGATTGAAGTCATCGATGTTGAGACCCAGCAGGTTGAGTGACTGCGATCTTCGTAGTAGTTTGGAACAGGTACTCCAAAGCAAGGCCTCGGTGCGAGTGCGAAAGCCTTCCCACGTCACGAATCTGCCGTGTGCAAACGGCCTGAGTAGCCAGTTGGTGAGGCCCCCGTGGATAACCTGAACCAGGCGTACGTCCCTGATATCCATGCCTGACATGTCGCGAAGGTTGCCATGCGGAGTGTTGGCAACAGTCATGGGCAGGCTGAAGTTGTAGAGCTGATTGACATCAAACATGCCATCTCCAGGTGTCCAGTCAGGCGAGGGTGTAAGCCAGGCTTTCTGAGGACGAACCGGTAGAGCCGCAGGAGGTCCAGGTGGCGGTGTAGGTTGGGAAGTAGTGACCGGTGGTGGCATCACGGGTGGCATGAACGTGGTTGGCGTGGGGTCTGGAGGGATCGGCATCATGTAGTTGATCGCTGGGTGTTGGAATTGCTGTGTGGGATTGTGAGTCGATTGAAAGTTGGTAGGTATCATCGGAAAGTTGTTGGCAGCGTTGTAGCCGGAATTGTGTTGCCATGAAACCAGGTTGTTCCAATCCATGTTCTCCGAGACCTGGCTGTCATTGTGTTCACGTCGGCGTGCTTTGCGAGCTTGAGGGGAAGGACTCCGATCACGTCTGCGCCGAGTCCTAGATCTATCTCGATCTTCACGTCGAGACATGATGGCACAACAAATGCAAACCCGCAACTCAACACTCTTGAGAGGAACAAGTCCGATAAATGCAAGTCCATGCAAGTTCAAGCCAGCAGCCAACAGTAGACCGAGTGAGACGTCGCTATGATCTGACGGCTTTCTTCCCTTTAGTGAAACCTCGTTCCTGGTTAAATGTGAAATTCCGCTGTTCTATGATAAGCACGTTGAGCTCAAATTTTCCGACAGAGCCGGCCCGGGGTCACACAATGGGTACACCCGAGGATTCCCCACGAATGGGGTGTACACACTTGAACTCCAGATGGAGAGTGCTAATCTTTCGAGTACAACTGATGAGTCTCGAGTACAACTGATGAGTCTCGAGTACAACTGATGAGTTTCGAGTAGGATCGACTTGCAGTCACTTGGCTTCCGTCTAGCAGCGAACACGTTACCCGAAAGAACAAGAAGCACAAACAGCGCCGCAACCAAGGGGCCAAATAGACTTTCAGAATCACGCAAATGTTGCAGGTACACAGCACGGCGTCCCGTGTTGCTTCACGACAACTCTGGACGGTCTTCGTTGGGCAACGCGACCCAGAGTGTCCGTTGCCCCCTGCTGCAACAGAAAAAGGTTTTGGTGGCAGGGTTTTCTGCCACTCCGCACACACACACACACACACACACACACACACACACACACACACACACACACACACACACACACACACACACACACACACACACACACACACACACACACACACACACACACACACCCAAACACACACACACACACACACACACACACACACACACACACACACACACACACAAACACACACACACACACACAAACACCACACACACACACACAGACACACACACACACACACACACACACACACACACACACACACACACACACACACACACACACACACACACACACACACACACACACACACAGACACACAGACACACAGACACACAGACACAAAGACACACAGACACACAGACACACAGACACACAGACACACAGACACACAGACACACAGACGCACAGACGCACAGACACACAGACACACAGACACACAGATCACACAGACACACAGACACACAGACACACAGACACACAGACACACAGACACACAGACACACAGACGCACAAACACACAGACACACAGACACACAGACACACAGACACACAGACACACAGACACACAGACACACAGACACACAGACACACAGACACGCAGACACACAGACACACAGACACACAGACACACAGACACACAGACACACAGACACACACGCATGCACGAGCGCGCGCACGCGCGTGCGCACGCGAGCGCCCGCCTGCCTGCCAGCCCGCGCGTCCGCGCACCCGCCCGCGCGCCCGCCCACAGGCCCGCCCGCCCGCCCGCTCGCCCGCCCGCCCGCCCGGTTGCCCGCGCGCGCACACACACGCACAAGCACACTACATGCACAAGCACAAGCACAAGCACAAGCACAAGCACAAACAATCAACGCGAGAGCGGACTCAGCTACACGACACAGACACAGACAGCTCCCGACACCCACACTGAGACTCACACCCACACACTCGCGCGCGCACGCGAGCTACACGCGCATACACACACACACACACACATGCGAGCTTCTGTCGCTACTGCGTTATGTTGCAAGCAGGTGCCGGCAGAGGCAACCTCAGAGGCGCGTCCTGCCATGATGCACGTGCAGATGTTGGTGTCGCCATGGTTGTTGTAGAGAGCAGAGAGCTGCGCCCCCTGCAGGTGCACAGCAGCCAGCAGGCAAGTTTGGTAGGGAGTCCAGCAGCGGCAACTGACATACACGAGTCACGGGATGTGCTTTTCATTTTATGTTTTCTTCTTTTATGTGCCTAAATACTTAAGTACACCCTCTTCTGCTTCAACGCATGTGTGGTTGTGGTGTGCTGGAAGGTGCCGTCTTCGGAGGCAGGGGACACGCTGCCAGGTTAGTTGGTTGTTGCCGTTGTCGCTGATCTCAGGTGCATACCAGCCAGCAGGCCAGTGTTCTACACACGGGCGATGCCAGCATTGACTTGGTGATCCTGCCGGAGGCAGGTAATCGTTAGTCAGAGTCATTTGCTTTGTGAAGTAAGTGACGTTGGCAGCTTTTGCAGAGCGTGTCACTTGGTGATTCAAGCTTATTTCCGTCATCCCAGCTCGTCGTGCAGGGCTATGGCCAAACAAAGCAGATAGATGTGGATCGCCTGGTGGGACAGATTCGAAGTGACCTGGAGCACGAGTCAGCTGGCAGCACGCAGAAAGCAGAAGCAGCGCCAGAAGCAAGCTCTCACATGCCTGTTGATCAGCATGAAGCAAAGTAGTCAAGGCATCAGGCAACTACCAAAATCTCTTGACATGTCCATCTTTGCTGGTATGGGTGCAGAAATGATGCTTTGTCCCTCTGTCAGGCAAACCGCAATGTCTCATGTATATAGAGCCATACCGCTGCATGCATGTTGCAGTCATCTAAGGCTAAGCATTCCCGACAAGTCTCTCTTCTTGATGAACCTGTCGGGCGCTGCTGAGGCGCACTGTTTCTACTGATGCAATTTGCATTCACTTACGCGTCACTTTCATGGGTCTGCAACTTGGCACCTTTTCGCGTCTGACAGTTGAAGCAAGTGCTACCTGATGAGCGCTCCTTGCGGGACTTGGGATTGAAGCCGGGGGATCGCGCGCTGACCTCGTCATTCTGCCGTTTGTACGTGTTTGTTCTATTTGCCTCGATGTTGCATGTCGCGTTTAGCATATGTTTCTTTGACTGTTTTGACCGCTTTGACCAAGGCGGGGATTGAGCTCAGAATCAATTACTACCAGGAGCAGCCTGCAGAGGCTCGCTTCAGGGTTTTATGCATGGCTTGCTACCTGGAGTCTGGGGGGGGGGCAGATCAACGTCAAGCAGGTTTGCGTTGCTGCGTGCTTGCGTGTTTCATTCTTTTGCGCCTACCTGCTTGCCTGCCCGCCTGCTCACTTGCCTGCCTGATTGCGTGTTTGCTTGGCTTGTGCCCCTTGCTAGCTTGTGCGCTAGTTTGCTCGTACAAACATACATATACGCACGCATTGCATACACCCGCGCGCAGAATCGCAGTAGCACAAAAACGCACAGGCATGCGCGCACACGACACACGAATGCGTGCGCGCGCACAGAAGTGCAATGACACAATACGCCAAGAAGCCAGAAGGCGAACGGAGAAGCAGCGCACAGTCAGTTTCCCAAAGACCTGCGCGCAGTCAGAGGGCATCGCGTGCGACCGGAGTGATTGGCTTACAATCATAGAGTCGCATGTAGTTCTACAGGCGCAGAGATAATCCAATTGCAATCCATGCCACGCTAGTGCGATACTGCTGCCAGGAGTATGTTATGCCAGACTGTTTGGAGCTGAAAGTGGTGAACGACCGTGGAGAGGCCAGGCCAAAGGCTGAAAACTGGCTGATCCCGAAGTTTGGGGAATTCCTGAACCATCACGCAGCAAATGTCAATGCAGTTCGTCAGGATTTTGTGAGTTGCAATTGGAGTGCGCTGGCCGCACTCATGTCTAAGGAGAGGATGATTTCTGTCCATGTGCAAAGGCCTGTCATGGAAAAGCCAGCGGCTTAAGGGATTGTTGGACGGGGACAGATGGAGACCACTGACACTTCAAGGCCATACTTTGGCGGCTATCGGAACAAACAGAACGGCGCAACGTGCGCTTGAGCCTGCAGCGCCTGGCTGCAGCGCCCAAAACCCACGTTGGCCATTTTAGTAGGTGGTTCTACCAGACGGGTTTAATAGGATTATCGTAACACCTATGTACACCTTCACAACCCAAAGTCAGTGGGTTTTGAGCGCTGCTTATATGTTTTAATTCACAGATTTGATGCCACAATTTGCGGCAACGCAGCACAGGTACCATCATGCAGTCACTCAGACTGCTCCTATCCAGAAAAAAGACATACACGTCATCCGCTTTCATCGAGAGGCGTGCGGCTCTAGACTCGACGAAAGGGCAAGACGCAGCTAACAGCTTCCAGCATGCGCGCCAGGCTCAGACGTACGAGTACCGCACCCGCTCCACACAGTGCAAGCGGGATAATGGCACTCAGATGGAGAAGGCCACAAATCGGTGCGGAAAGCCGTGGGATATGTGCGGAGCTTGCCAAATCACGTCACAACAGTCAGCGGACTCAACCTGCGAGACGTGCTGAGCCAGGTGGGCCTCTATATTGACAGCCGCGATGATGTCATCATGCAGCCACGGCGCCCGTACTTCAGCAGCGCAGATAAGGCTGCGCGATAACACATCTTTCTGGAAGCTGCTGGACTGTACTCACACGACTCGTCCAGCTGTCTCCAGTTGCAACCAAACATCAGGCGGCGTTGTTGCTGGAGAAGCTTCTTGGTCTGATGGCTGTCATGATGTGCGCTGAATGTGCACAGTTGGAGCATTGAAGCAGAGCGCAGGTTCTGAGCTGTTTTGACAGTTGCTCAAAGTGCTCAAAGCTCAAAGTCCGCGCGGACTAAGGTGCGTCATGATCCAATGTCATGCCAGAGGCATGATTGCTAGAAGGCACGGACCTACTCCAGAGCTGATTCATTCTGCGACAATGTTTAGGGCAAGCCCAACGAGTTTACATAAATCCTTGTCCTGTGAATTGTGTGAAGGCCTCGGAGCGCACAACGTTGCTGAGGAAAAATAGGTAACTGAAATACACGGCGCGTGGAAAATTATGCAGTATGACCTTCAGCAAATGCAGCGTGAAAGACTACAAAGTACAATAGCAAAGCAGTCACAACTGCGAGAACTCTTGCCGTCGCATTTGGCCTTTTCTCATCAGCTGCGCGTTTGATTCACAAGCAAGTGATCTCGCTTCTCTGTCACTCCAGAAAGGTGTCGACATTGCATAATTTGCATAATGCAGATGCAGGAAATGGCTTCTAGAGCAAAGTGATGGCAAGCGAGGATTCAATTGCAAACGGCTGCTTGCCTTGGAGAGTCCAAACGAAGCAATGTACGACAATACTTCAACCTTCTTCACACAAGTGTTTCGTGCTGGCGACGCCGCGCTGTCAACCGTCAAAGCCAAGCTAAGCCTTTGCAGAGGTCAGCTCAGAAGCCCGTTTCGTCGCAGTCCTTCAGCGTAACAAACCAAACAAACCAATATGCAGAACAAAGCTGTGTCCTAATAGCAAACCTACTCCATTGTCCAAAGCCCATCATCAAGTGGGCTTGAACAGAGCTCAGCTCAGATAACATGCTATTTCAGCGTGACCCACCACGCCAAGTCAAAGAGCCCATTTCGTCAGAACATCCACCCTGAATCATTCCTGCAGCATAGCAATATTAGCTCCCCAGAGTAACAAGTTGTTTTTTTGTGTTGGGCGGTCGTCCAAGTCAGGTTTGGGGTGGGGGCGGGGTCCATGTGTTTCGAGTCCGCGCCGGGACAGTTTGCGCCGCTTCAGGAAGTTCCCACGTCACCACTTAACTCCTACATAATGTCAGAGTTGCCGTCCAGCGTCCAGCTGAGCGTTGCAAAAGGTCATTTGCGCGTTTGTTCACACGATGGTGCTAGTAGTTGTATTGCTCAGCTCCTGGGATTGTTAATGCCAACGCTTGCAGGCGCACTCGGCAGCTTCGCCAAGCACGTCAGGCAAGGGTGAATCGCGCCTGACTTTCATTGTTGGTGACTCAGAGTCTGACAGAGGGAGCAGCGCGGCTGTTGAATAGCTTGCGCTGGCCGAAGAAATTGAAGAATAGAGCGCACAATCTTGGGACGCTGTTCAAGGAACGCATTGCGCTCGGGGGCAGGAGCGTGAGGAGCTGGAGCGCCGAGAGACGGAGCGCCGGCAGTTGGAGGCGTGGGTAGTCCCATTGACAGCTTGGATCTGGTCCGCGCGGTGCGCAGATATGAAATCATATGAATATAAAGAAACAGACAGAGAAGCCGTCGACATCACTACGATACGCACATGCAGGAGTTTTGACATACAAGATACATCAGCATGCACATACACAAGCACCATATACATATATATATATATAGATATGTGGTCACCCTCCCCCCCAGGCCTACCTTTCCTCTCTTCTAGTTGAAGGTGCCTCAAAGCACTGTAAAATGCAGTGTTTTGTAATGGAAAATATGAATGCAACCATGTGTTTCACAGATTGAGAGATACACCAGCACAGCGGTGCGCCTTGATGGCAAAGCGCAAGCAGTAGCGCAGACTAACGCAAGACAGGAACCGAGACTGGACATTGACCGAGAGACACATGAAGTGAGCCGATCAATAGAGGCGCAAAAGCCGAACGAAGCCCCGGAGGAGCGGTGAACGAACTTGACAAATCGTTGCACGGAGGGAACGTTGCAACACTCACAAACGCTTTGAACCAAACGGGGGGGAATGTGAAAAATATCCATTGCAATTTTCACAGGCTTGTGGGAGACTCGGAGCTGCCCAGTCTGTTTGGATTTGTTTTTTTTTTCTGTTTGGATTTGGAAAAAACATTCGACAAGGTAAGCCACAATTTGCAAGAAGCGCTAAGCCTCAAAATGGTCTTTAAACTCGCAACATCAAACCTTTGCGTAGTAGACCGTTTAGACAAAACACGCGCGTACAAAGTGGGAGACGACCACGCACGGGCATCCAGCAATGTCCAGGCCCAATCCTGCTTATCCTGTTTGTTCTGCTGCGTGCAATGTTCCGTTTTTACCGAAACGCGGGCCTCAATACAAGTACACAGTACAAAGCATGAAAGTCAGAGAGCTGTTTGCGAATGATGCGTTTTTCGATGACCGTTGCAAAAACATCACGCACGCAGAGCGAATAAATACTTGCAACTCATCGAAGCAGCGTCGCTCCACGAGATAAAACAGAACCACATGTGCGTGGTGTGTGTGTGTGTGTGGGTGTGCGTGTGCGTGTGCGTGTGCGTGTGCGTGTGCGTGTGCGTGTGCGTGTGCGTGTGCGTGTGCGTGTGCGTGTGCGTGTGCGTGTGCGTGTGCGTGCGCGTGTGCGTGTGCGTGTGCGTGTGTGTGTGTGTGTGTGTGTGTGTGTGTGTGTGTGTGTGGGCGCGTGCGCGTGTGCGCATGTGCGCGTGTGCGCGTGTGCGCGTGTGCGCGTGTGCGCGTGTGCGCGTGTGCGCGTGTGCGCGTGTGCGCGTGTGCGCGTGTGCGCGTGTGCGCGAGTGCGCGAGTGCGCGTGTGCGCGTGTGCGCGTGTGCGCGTGTGCGCGTGTGCGCGTGTGCGCGTGTGCGCGTGTGCGCGTGTGCGCGTGTGCGCGTGTGCGCGTGTGCGCGTGTGCGCGTGTGTGCGGGTGTGCGGGTGTGCGTGTGTGCGTGTGCGTCTTGGTGTGGGTGTGGGTGTGGGTGTGGGTGTGGGTGTGGGTGTGGGTGTGGGTGTGGGTGTGGGTGTGGGTGTGGGTGTGGGTGTGGGTGTGGGTGTGGGTGTGGGTGTGGGTAGCATCAACATCCTTTGCAAAACAAACTCACGAAATTGCAAGCTTGTCGCGCCCAACATGACTCGGTCTGCTTTGGACGGGGATGCCTCTGCAACTACATGCCTTCACGTGTGTAAGCCTGTGAATATGTGTCTATGTATATATATATATACATCATTTACATATACATGTATACATTCTGACTGGCATACTTGCAGGCATGGCTCCGTCTAGGAGCCGTGCGTTTTCGGCAAGGACTCACAGACCCCAAACATTTGAAGTGACTCACCAGGTTAGCGCTTCGAATTACAAAGGCGAAGCTTCGCCGCATAGTCAGGTCTGGATGAAGTACGCCAACTGCCAAGACTCTCCCCGTCTCTCTCTCTCTCTCTTTTTCAACGTGAGTTTTTACAAATCGGGGGAGCTACCACTGAGGTATTCCCTTAGTCACATTTGCGCCGGGAATTGCAGGGTGATGTGATGGTTAGTTTATGAATGATGGCAGCCTTCTGTTGGCACTGTTCCCGAGTTGTTGTTTGATGTCACCTTGCACCTTCCGTGCGACCCCGCGGAGCGCCAGCATTCCCATGACAGGCTGACCTCAGGCACAAAAGGGAGGTCGAGAGGCGCATGCATCCTCTCACACCCGAGGACACGATCCAGCGCAGAATTCCGGACAAACAAGAGATAGGTGCGGTTGCCAGCCTGGCTTGCTCGCAGGATTTCAGCGTGCTCTACAAAGAGCTCGAGGCTGTTTGCCAGCAGAACAGTGAGTGGCGTAGAATTGACAGGTTTGGGGCGTAGCTGCGCTGGTGGACTGAAGCACGAGGCATTTACAGCAATGATGCGACTGACTGGCAGGCATGGCGAATAAACGAGGCAGCACGAATCCAAAACTCCGGGTTCGACGAGGCTCGCTGGCTTCGATTGTGAGAGATGGAATCGCCGGATGTGTTCACAGAGCTCAAAGATTGTGATTCCCGCGCGTAACATGTACAGAGTATATTTGTTGCCAGGCAACGCGCCGCGCTGCGCAGTATGAGCTGCTACGCAAGGAATGGCACACACACACACATGTCTTGAGTATTGCAGGTTTCAATGTTTTTTGGTAGCGCTGAGCAACCTAAGTTATCTGTAGCGACAGCTTGCTGCAACACTCAAACACCATTCTTGTTGCCTTTCCTCAACAGTGCAGGAGACAAAGCTTTTGCAGACTATTGACAAGCTGAAGATCAAGGCAAGGTTTGGAAGTAAACGCATTGCCATAGTGCTTGTCCCACAGGCTCACACGCAGAATAGAGATAGCAAGATCAAAGGCAAGCTGGAGAGTGGCCCTCAGCTGGCGCATGATGTTTTTGAGCATGGCTTATTGCGAGCAAAGTCGTTTGCCTTTATGTTGTTGAAGTTGGTTGTCCGACCTGGATTGGGCAATATTCGGAAAGGAGGTTGGACGATGACTTCGATATGAACTTAGGTCTATGGCCCAGCCAAAGGTTTGGCTGCAGACTGATGGGGAGACGACTACCGTGCATACCCCTTTCACAACGCGTGCGAAGGCAGGGCTCGGGCCCAACAGCTTGGATAAACTGGCGTTTGCGCTGAGTAGCAGCACCACGCAGTGTCATGCAGCGCACGTAGCGCTTGCACACTTGCACGCGCGGTACAGCATGGGAATGCATGAGCTCTTGGACAAGCTACCAAGCCCAGGAGCTCATGGATCTCT